ACTCATCTTATACCATACATTCACGATTTATTTATTTATTATTTTTTAAAAAAAATTTTTTATTTGAGTGCATGTATATATATGTACTCATAAATTGGGTGTTTTAGATATTATTGTTGTATATTTTCAGAATGGATGGACAGCACTGCACTACACGACGAGACACGGTTTCTTGGACGTGGTCCAATTGCTGGTCAACAGTGGAGCATCTCCCACTGCCGCCACCAGCGTAAGCACTCTTATCTTAATTTTCCATATTTTATTGACGTAAACATTGTGTATCTGATTTAAAATGAATAATCTTGATATTAAGTTCTATGTTTTATTAGGTATCTGAGTAGACATGCTGTACAAAGTTGCTGAATTTTTCAAAACAATTTCTGTTCTAATCATTCATTGAAAATTTAATAGCACACGACCCTGTAAAATTTGGATCTTAAAACTTCACGAATTTCTCTTCATTTTTGACGAAACCTTTTAAAATGTTAACTTTATACTTTCCTTTGACCTGGGACATGCTCCAAGCGAACATTTCGTTAAACTGTGGAATTTATTCCTTTCATTGTTATGTAGCTGTGAATGTTATTTGTTGTTTTTAATGACACTTGAACACAGCTCGCCAGCTATTGGCCTTGCGAATTAAGTCAGGAATGTGCTCCTTTCGTTTGGTAAGAGAGCACCACAAGGGTGAAAGAACGTCTCTTGGCTCAGAACCCTATTATAGAGGCCACTTCCTCAATTCAGACATAAGTTTGAAGGTGAAAGAAATTTTCTCAAGGACCGACCGCAGAACTGACTTACCAGCACGTATATTGCATATAATGAGTGGATCTTAGTGGAGTCGGGGATTAAAGTCCGGCCCTTTAGGACAGGAGTCCGATTCTCTAACCACTGGGCTACCACGGTAGAATACCTTCACTTTTTTGACGATACGAATTTCGTCTAAAACACTAAGTCCAATGCAACATTGACACAATTGATAAGAAATTACTATAAAAAGTGAATGAGCGAATCAGTTCACAGTCAGGAATCGCTTCTATCTAAAAAATCTAAATAAATGACATTTTAAAAATATAAAATTTTAATTATTTAGAAAATAAGCGGTTGGGAAAAATTTATTATCAATGTGACTAGGATTCACACACAAAATAAAAATACCTATACATATACAATAATACTTCGATATATCGAGTTCATCATATCACGAGAAGGGCTCAATTACCACAGGTTTGCAAGCCACCGTCAAAATTCTAATATTAAAGTTACAAAAATACAAAAGTGTTATACTTATAAAAAGGTGAACATTAACCCTATCGCTATTGCGACAATTTCCATTTAAGCAAATTTTTTTTACTGTTAAGTTTAAATTTTTTTACCGTTTAAGTGAACAACATTATACGAAGAAAAGACAAAATGAAAGACATTTTCATTCATTTCTGGTACCAATGGAACAGAAAAATAAAAAAGTGAACGTCATTTAATCTTTATTTTTCACTTTTTAGGTTTATCTTGTTATGTGTAGGTAACCACCTGCACATTTATCTCCCTTTTTACAAAAGAAAAATTCATCTGCTGTTAAGAATTCTGCCATATACTTAAAAGGAACGAGGGCCTTTTGTTGACCACATCACTACGATGCCCAACTATATCCTTTCTCGACACCCTAACTCTTGGAATTAGTTTTTAATGCTATCCGATGACGTCAAAAGCATGTGTACTACATTTGTACATTTGTATTTGCATATGTACTACATATGTACTATGTACTACATCTTTCAATAACTTCTAATACGATCTAATATCTGTAGGTTAAGACAGTCTTCTCTATAATGGAATTTTTAATCAAAAGAGTTGTTCAAAACAAAAAGAAAAGCGATAAATGGGTCGATTTCATCATTCAGTCATTTATAGTGTTGTTTTAACATTATGTGGATTTATTTATAACGACAAGCTCACTATAACGACAATTCTACTTGCTAATGCGATTCGTCGCTATAACGGACTTTTACTATAAGTTAAAAAGTATATCACAAGTAAAATAAAACACAAAAGTATTTACTCCATACTATAATTTTGTGTCATACAATCAATAATAAGGGTTTATTTTTGCGAAAAAAAAGCATATTATTTATTACCCATATCTGTTAAAGCGTTTCATCGAGAACGTCAATTAAATTAGGTCGATGACCATCTCACTAATTTTCAAGACGTAACTGTTGTTTATAAAATAATGCAATTCATATTAATTAATTGCTTCAGTTTGCAGCGATGTATTGCTATGCCGTTAGCACGCTAACACCAATCAATTTAAAGAATAGCGTTCATGTCGTTTATTTTTGATTCAAGTTATGTGAATTATACAATCCAATAACCGTGGATAAACAATGTAAAACGTGAACATCGATTTGAATTATTATTGAGAAAGAATTTAAAGGGTAACACCATTTAAATTGTCTGACGAAACTTAAAGGTGGTCACACGATCTTTAATTTCACAGGAAGAGCAAATTAAACACCATATATCGAGCGAAACCTTATACGTCTTCCTTCTCTGTCACGTTGTTTTTCTTTACTATTACTCAACTTGATAATGATTCGTCTGATTTTGATGATTTTTTTTCAATTAAATATTAGTTTAGTCCTATTACATGTATTATTTTTACTACGTTTTTATTCACTCACTTTCTAGTCTGAGAGGGTGAAATCTTGCGATCGAAATTTCGATCACTTTTTAAATAGATAGAACAGGGATTCCAAATTCATAGGCCACGGCCCGCAAGTGGGCAGTAATAAGCGTTGTATTGGATCGTAGACGCAGGTCGAAAGTCTAGGTCAAGATAAATCTATGGTCTAATACCAGTTTTTCGGAACGAGTCCCTAGTTCTGTGACACTAGTACATAGGACTAGTAATCAATCGTGCATTAATATGTCACTAGTAGTTCTAGAATTTATATGATGTGGCGCGTCTTAGCTTTAGTATCTTTTACTACATTTTTGCACATTAGTCACACGATTGTCAATATTTTTTTAATTTGTTCAGCAGTGGACCTTAAAGTTTTTTTTTATATAAAACTAAATTAATTACAGTTGAATCTTTGCTGAAACTCCATACTTGATGCAAATACGAGTTTAACTATTTGTTAACCTTCACAAGCAAGATTTATCATTAATCAAAATTTCGACTACTTAGTATTCAGAAATTTGAACTGGAGTTCTGCGACTTATGACCATTAAAGTTACATTTTTTTTTCTGACGAACTAGAATTACTTTCTCTTTTTTGGTTCATTTAAAATATTTATTTATTTTTTAATTTTATATTATTTTATTATTTTTTCTTCACTCTTGTGAAGATTTCTAAAAATTTGTATTACCGTTGATAGTTCATAGTTTTTAGTTTTGTCACACAAAGACAAAATTAAATATTTAAACACGTTTTAATCTACAAATAGTCAAATATAAACAAATATAGTTACATAAACATATTTATGTAACTATATTTATTTATAGTTACATAAACATATTTATGTAACTAAATTTATTTATGTATATATTTGTTTATGTATTTGTGAACATAACAAATATACACACATATAACACACAAATATTGCTGCTCATGTGTTACGTATGTTTGTGTTGTTATGTAACACACAAATATAAAAAATAATGTATATATTTGCAGGAAAACATATATATTATTATTTGTTTGTGTTATTTGTTTATGTAATAATACATAAACATATTTAAATATTTTTAATACAGAACTAAATTTTGTTTATTAAAATTAAGTATTTAAACCAACAATTTTTTTTGCTTAAATATTTATTTTGCGTTTGTTTAAATATGTCCTTTGTTTTTCGTTTCAGGATGGTAAAGTTCCATTGTGTCTCGCCGCAGCTGCTGGACATTATGACGTACTCAATTACCTTTTGAAAAAGGAACACGACACCCATACACTCATGTGTGACAGCAATGTGAGTTTCATTTGTTTGGAAATAGTTCACACGCATTTCTGTTACAAGAGGAAAAGCAACAAGAATATAATAGTTTCTACTACAATTCACCTTTTATCACCTTAAATCTGATTTTTTTTCTCTTTCATTTATACCTTTTCTTTAAAATAGTGAAAGTTTTGCCTGTATACATGTAGCACAGTGCGTCAAAGAAAAAAAAACACGCTTAATTAGTTTTGATTCTAATGATCGGATCTTCACTCAAGGACTCAATCTCAATGGTTCGAGGGGGTGACCTCAAATATGCTAATTAGTGCAGACGATATTTTAAATTTTGAAATCAGACACAAAAACGTACTTTCTCTGAATAAACTTATTTTTTTCAATGGAATCAAATTTCGGACCCCCAAAATGTAGGGGGTAGCCGCAATCTGGGAAATAGGGTTCGCATAATTTGGTCAGGAGAGCGATTCAAAGTTTAGACTCCTTAATATTAATTTTACTTTTTACATATTTCGCCATATTTCGAAAACTTTTTTAGCTGTTTGAAAAATTTGCACATACAATTATAAATTTTTTTTTATCCAAAGATAGTTCCATGCAAAAAAAAAAATTTAGTAAATATTTATTATTTTTTATTATTTCATTTAATAATAGTCAAAAAATATTTTAAATTGTAAGGTATAATTTTTTTCCATCATTTTTAAGTTTGTAATTTTACATGGCAAAATACAAAATTTCAGCGAAATCGGTCGAATAGTTCCTGAGAAATCGAATTTTTAAAAAGTGATATATTTAGAATTCGATGTCTGAGGAATTATTTAGCCGATTTCGCGCAAATTTTGTATCTTGAAATGTAAAATTACATACTTTAAAATGACATAAAAAATTGTCTACCTTACATTTCATAATTTTTTCGAATATATTAAATAAAATAATAAAAAGTAATAAATATCTACTAAAGCTTATTTTTTTACAGGGAATTTCCAATTGATAAGTTTTTCAAATAGCTTAAAAAGTTCTCGAACATTACGCAAAAAGTAAAATTAACTTTAAAGAGATCAAACGTTGAATAGCTCTCCGGACCAAACTATGAGAACCATATTTCTCAGATTGCGGCTGCCCCCTCTAATTTCGTAGATCAAAAATTTTAATCCGTTGAAAAAAAGGTGTGTTTATACAAAGAAAGTACATTTTTGTGCTTGATTTCGTAACTTAAAATTTCGTCTGTACTAATTAATAAGCCTATTTGAGGTTATTCTCTCGAGCCATTAAGATTGAGATATAGATCCGTTCATAGGATCAAAAGTTATTCAAGGTGATCCGTTTTTTTCTTCTTCTTTTGCTGTTATTTTTGGTGCACTGTACTAAAAATAATTAAACAATGAAGGCCATACGTCAAGTAGCTAATAGCTTGCGAATAATTAAAATGTGAATGCAACTTAATTTAATTTGAATTGAGTAAATATGGTTGTGTACTAATTGTAACTTCTATTAACATGAAAATTGGTATATTTTGATTCAAATATAGTACAATAGTATTTGTGATGTACTTTGATTTAAACATAATACAATAGTATAATAATATATATTGATGTATTTTGATTCAAACATAATAATATATATTGGTGAATTTTTATTCAAATTTCATACACTAATATAATAGTATAAATTGGTTTACTTTGATTCAAATATAATATAATCGTCTGATTTNATAAGACTCCCGGTTACAGTTAGAACAGCTAAACCTTAATACAGTCCTAATAATTCCATGGAAGATTGCAATAGGTAATGCAACAAATCATATTTATACATTAATATCAGAACAGGCATTTGCAAATTATTATTATTTCTTCGAATTAAATATATATATATATATAATAGCATATATTATATTTTTATTCAAACATAATTCAGCAATCTCATTTGGGGGAGACCGAGAAAGGGGTGTAAAGAAATTTGTACCAAATTTTTTATCCAAAGCCATAAAAATTGTATCTATCAAATTTTAGTTCAAAATAAAGGGATCTGCTTTATGTTCATATTTTTTTTAAATTACAAATATTTGATCAAAAACATCGTAGTTAAGAGATGTAATTATTAAAATTTTAATTATAAATATTATCCTAGAAAAAAAAATGGTTTGTATTATTTTCACCACTCAAAGAATAGAATAAAATATTTTACAGTTTCTAGTTTCTAAACATTAATATTTAGCATCAGTTATTTAGAACATCCCATTCGTTCTCTTTTAATGAAGATAGCATCCTATTACGTAACCATTAGCTCAAATTTTACACAAGTGTATTTTTTTGCTACTTACTATTTATAAATATAGTACTATTTACAAATATACTTAAAATAAAAAAATAATGAAGTATGAAATATTACAATGCAGAGAATGAGTTATGTCGTAATTATGTTGGAATATGTTGCAAAAACAGATTCTGTTGAAAAAAAGATTTTGTTACAGAAACAGAACAAAATATAATATCGAACATAAAAAAAGTAGCATACTATCCCTTCACATTGACTTCTGCTCCGGATTTTTTTTTAAGAAAAAGGAACTTAAAGTTTTCCCTCTTTCAAAGAAAATACAAACGTTTTTACTCCTCATAACCTATGACCGGTAAAACTAATTCGTAAAGCTTTCGTTCTAGTCTAGGGGCTCAACCCAAACTAGAACGATAGAACTAGCTCCACCTAAACTGGAATGTTGTTTTAGGGGCTCCACCCCTAAACTGGAACGTTGTTATACAACGTTGCATAAGATATTGTATAAGATTATTTGAAAGTTCATACTGTATCTGTTATCTGGATCTATAATTACTTCGTCGACACATTATTTTTATTGATATGCTATTTTTTTTTCTTCAGTTCTTGATTGACTTGATGGTATCAAGCAAAGCTCACGCCAACAAACCCGTTTTGGAGTTTGTGCTAGTATCCGCTGCACCCATAGAAACGGCAGCCAAAATGGCACGCAGCTATCAACTTCTATCCTTGAAAGAGAAAGACAGAGCTCGAGACTTAGAAGTGATGGCTATCTTCTGCGAAGCGATGGCCGCCGACCTCCTAGGCATCACAGCCATCTCATACAACACAGGCACGCTGTTACGGTCAGTGGACTCACAGAATCAACCATTCCTCGATGTACTCATTGAATTGCAACAGAAAGAGGTGGTGGCTCACCCTGCCGTCCAGAAATACCTCACCGACTTGTGGACAGGAAGTCTGCAGTGGGCATCATGGAAGATGTCCGCACTTTTCTTCTCCTTCCTAGCCTGTCCTCTTGTCTGGATCGCCTTTTCACTGCCCCTGGGACACAGGTTCACCAGCATTCCCATCATCAAATTCATGTCCTACCTCGTATCCCATATCTTTTTCATTGTCCTGCTCACGTTCACCATCGTTAACCCATGGCTACCCCTTTGGAAGTCCACTCATCTTATACCATACATTCACGAATGGCTACTTCTTTTATGGCTGATAGGACTTTGGGTATCGGACGCTACCAACCCAAAAGACAGGGAAGGCCTGGGTTTCATAAAAGTGATCATTATGACTGTGGGCTCAATGGGCATCATGACTCACGTGGTAGCCCTTGTTTTCTCCGACGATCATTCCATCCTCGTGTGCCTGTACATACGAAATCAGTTCCTCGCAGTCGCACTTCTGCTCTGCTTTGTCGAATTTCTGAACTTCTTAACATTCCACCACCTCTTCGGACCATGGACGGTTATCATCAGGGATCTCATAAAGGACCTGATGAGATTCTTAGCCATCTTGGGGATCTTCTTGGTGGGCTTCTCACTGCACTTGTGCGCCATCTACCAGCCAGTATTCCTTCCAAAAGGCGCTGACCAGCTCACCCTGGTCGTTTTCCAGTCTCCCATCGACACCTTCGAAATGCTCTTCTTCGCTCTCTTCGGTCTCGTAGAACCAGACTACATGCCACCCATGCACCTCAGTCCCGGATTCTCTAAAGGCATCATGAAAGTGGTGTTTGGTATCTACATGATGGTTACTGTCATTGTCCTCATTAATCTCCTCATTGCCATGATGTCTAATACCTACCAGAGAATCCAAGCACAGTCCGACACAGAATGGAAGTTCGGACGTGCCAAACTCATCAGGAATATGAACAAGACTTCACCTTCTCCTTCACCCATATGTCTCTTCACGCTCTTTGGAGAACTCTTCTACAGGTGTCCAAAGAAATGTCCAGGTAATCTTCCATTTTTCAACAGTTTGGGCAAAACTGCAATTAATTACGAGAAATCGTGATTACTAATCACCATATGATCAATTATTACTATGAGTTGTATTATTATAGCCAGGATTTGTGGTTACTAGAAACCATGTGTTCTATGATTACATAGAATCGTGATTATTAGAAACCATATGATCTAAGATTACAAGATATCATGCTTACTAGTAATCATATGATCGATTATTACAAGGAATCATGGTTACTAGTTACTTTGTGATCAATTGTTACAAGGAATCATAATAACTAGTAACTAGTATGATTCCAAGGTGTCATGAGTACGAGCAATCATATGATCTATGATTGCTAATTATCATGACTGCTAGAATAATATTATCCATTATTACAAGAAATCATGGTTACTAGTAACTATGTGATCAATTATTACAAGGAATAATGATTACTAGTAACTACTACGTGATCAATTATTACAAGGAATCATGATTACCAGCAACCATAAGATCAATGACTACAAGCAATCATGATGACTAGGAATCATAATATCTATTATTACAAGGAATCAAGGTTACTAGTAACTTTGTCATCTACGATTACAAGGAATCATAATTACTAGTAACCATTTTATCTATTTAAGGAATCGTGACTATTAGCAACAATTTTATCTATGATTACAAAGAATCAGGATTACAAAAGATCACCAGCCTACAGTTTTATGATTATTTCTGTTAGGATAGCACAAGTCTTAAAGTCCTAAACTATAATTGAGAAGGACCGGGGTTATGTCCCGATAAGTGGCTTAAAATCCACCCAACTTTATATCAATAGATACCAGCTTGATTTGCCTAGTGCACGTAGTTGAAAACATTGCCACCATAATCCCGCTCTCTGAAAAGTGTGAAACCTTAATCTCGATAATCTCCTTGGGCCAACAATTAATTGTTACAAGACTTCTTTATCATTCTTTTATATTTTACTTCTTTTATATAATTTACTTCTTTTATATAATTTACTTCTTTTATATAATTTACTTCTTTTAGTAGTAGAAAAACAAATCTAGCCACCCCCATCTTAGAGAACACGGCAGACTGTAGAATTGCTTGTTAAAGTTTTTCATTTTCTTAATTTTTTTAAAAATAATTATAGCATCTCTAAGAAATAGAATCTTTTATGACTTTTATAAGACCCATTTACTTTTTGTTTTGTAGGAATGTCGCGTAAACCACAGCTGCACCTACTGAAGTCAAAACGTGACGCTGCCATCCAAAGAGGCGATGTGCCTAAAATCATGCCAGCAGCCTGGAAAAGGAGAGTCACGCGCAGATCACAACAAATCATGCCTGTCGGTCAGTAATATCATCCTTTTTTCTTACTTATAGCGATGTGCAATAAAAAAGCACTTTTTGCTATCCAATAGTGCAGATAACTTATTCTAATTTTAGCTAAGTCGAAATGTTAGATTGGCAAAGATTCTTTTATTTTTTTTTTTACGCAGGTCACTGTCTGAAGTGCAACAAACTTTTGCAAACTTAAAGAATGAGAAATTATATGCTGCACATTTTAAAACTCATTGCGAGTCCGTAACAAATAAATGGAATCGTGTATGTGTCTTTATCAATTTCACATTTTTAGTTCTCAATTTCACATTTTCAGTTCTCAATTTCACATTTTTAGGCTAGTAATTGAGAAAAACTTTTCTAAAAACATTGAAACTTCCGTTTTAATATAAATATTTTTTTTCTTGTTTATTCATATTTTAATTTTCGATTGATGAAGGATCTCTTATCTTATTATAACATCTTGCATTTAAATACTAAAAGATATACTGTTACAGTTTAGTTTTTATTTAAAAAAAAGAACAATTGTTTACAAAAAACATAAATTTTAATGAATGACAAATTCCCTAAATCGCAAGCTTAAGAGATTTTAGTAAAATGATAATGATAAGTTATACATAGTTTGCGTTAGTTAAAAATTTCCTACATTTTGATCAATTTTCAAATTATTCATTCGTTTTTTTTTTCTTCCTTTAAGAAAATAATTCCAAAATCTTTTCGGAATTTTTTTTGCTGTAAATTTGGGATTTTTATAGATAAGTTTGAAGTTTTTATTGAACAACGGCGAACTTCAAATGCTCAATTTTTTCCAAAATCAGAAGATCAATTGAGTGAATACGTTGATAAAATTTGACCGTAATCACCACCCTTAAAGTATATTTTTAGAATACTTGTCAAAACTGGAGAAAAAAAAATGAATCAACTATAGGTCAGTAATTAATTTTCAAGCAAAGAGAAAAGGGTTATAGAAGCCTGATGTATCATTAACGAAGTAGGTAAGAATAAATACAAAACATAAACCTCTATATCATTATCGAAGGAAAAGTAGAGAAAAAGCGATTTTTCGAAACGCTTTCATACTCCATTACCTATCAAATCGGTTTTAACGTTTTCAATCTCGTATACCTCAAAATTGATTCGCTTACCTGTTTTACTAACACTTTTTTTCCTGACTTATATATTAATCTATTACCCCAAAAATGTACATTTTCTTATACTTATTCTCGTAGACAATTCTAAAAATAGATCTTAACCCCTTCCTTCTCGCTCCCGTGAAAATGACGGGTTGAGGTTCCGCCCTCTATTTCTCGCTCCCTTGATATTTCCGGGCTGGAGTGTTCAAATTTCTTTTGGCGGGAAAACATTTTATTTCTCATTTTACATACCAGATGGCAGTATCAGGATATTTTTAAGGTAATTGTAGATAGTTAGTTTACTTTAAACTAGATATCAGCACTAATCAAATACGTATATTTAAAAAAATATTAACTTTTACGACAGTTTTCCTGAAAATTAACCAATCGCTGAGGGGTTAATGGAGATTAGAGAATATCCTGTAGAGGTATATATTTTCATTTCAATGATCAACTTATCAAATTTAATAAAATTTATAACTACAACAAAGTTCCACCTGAAATCAATATTTTTGTATCATAAAATGTACTGATATTAATTGTTTATTTGCCTTTGTACACTTATTTTACTGGTTTACATTTAAATATAAATCTGAGATTGAAATATTTAATCATGAATTTTTTTTCCTCTTCCAAATCTAGAGGGTGACGGTTCAAGTGAGTGTATCTGGGGTCGAATTCCAAAGACCTCTTTTTAATGCACTAGGATTTAAAACACACCTCACAGTAGGAGTAAAAACACACAACTTACAGTTAGATTAAGAGCTCAACGCACTAGGAATAAAAACACAAATCGCAATAAACACTGTAACTCGCACTTGGATTTAAAACGTAATTTGCAATGAACACTTGGATCACAATAAAACTCACTTCAGGAATCTTTAACTCAAGTTGTGTTACGCTGTTCTATCTGAAATGAACTTTTTGAAGTGCAGTTTTTGAAAGATCCAAACGCATATTCATTGTAAAACCGAAATTAGTGAGTGCTATCAAAGAACTGAATAAGGCAGAACTTCAAACTCCAAAGCGTCCATATTTCTTAAAAAAAATGGAATTCGAGGCTATAAATAAATCAAATTGGGCGCAAACATAGAAATATATGTTTGTAAGGACAGCCAAACATTTGGTTGTACAATTTCAATTTTTTAACAATGAGTCACGGTGGCTTCAGAGGCAATCTACCTTTTCAGAGGCTATTGCACGTCCACCCTTAGGGCATTTGCGCAGTTCTTTTAAGCTTTTCTTTAAGCATTTTCTCTAACCGGTCCACACTGAAACAGATAACCACTCCAGAAGGGGGAAATTAAGATATTAGAGAGAAAAGAAGTTCATTCCTTGCGCGCAAATTTAAAACTAGTGAATTGGAGCCATGATGGCTCAGGGGATAGAGCAGGGATGGCGAACCAATGGCACGCGTGCCATTTATAGCACCTGACACAATATTTTGGGCACGTCACCGATCACATTTGTTATTACACTATGAATTGTTATTACACAAATGTTGTTACACTATGAAGCATATGTAACAATTAAATTAAAACACACAAAATAATAAACAATTATTAATAAAAAATGTACAATTAATGCTAAAAAAACAATTAATAACCATAAAAAACAAGCTAACAATAAATAACTAGCAAAAGAAATTAACAGTTCTGCTTAAACTAACATCTTACAACCTAATATAAGTTATTTGTCATCTAATCTGCTACTTTAAGTTGAATTACGCGTATAACTGAGACATAGCAAAATGTTTTTTTTTCCCAATGTAAATAAGGAGTTTTGAGTTGATAGTATTTAGTATTATTATTTTCCCAATAATTACGAAGTCAAAATTATTTGACCTCATCTATGACCTCATCTATGATTGGCACGTCTATGACCTCATTAAACAATTTTTTAGAAAAAATGGCACGTTGGTGTATAAAGGTTCGCCACCCCTGGGATAGAGCGTTCACCTTCCGAAGAGGTGAACTGGGTTCGAATCCCCGTGACGGTTGTTCGATACGAATTCCGCATCCGGTTTTTCCCGACCACAGTGCTGATGCAAAATATCCTCAGTGGTAGACGGATCATGGGTTAGAATTTACTTACCACCGGGGTAACCGTTGAAGGTTTCAGTGGTTTTCCACTGCTTGCAACTCAAATGCGAGTTATGTTCATTAAAAAGTCCTCCCCGAAGGCCAGTTGGTCCCAATATTCAATCTAAGAGTTCCCTCAAAATTGCAAAGCTGCGGAGTTGAATATTGATAGTCTAAAAACTCAGAATGGGGTCGGCTGTTCAACGACAATTATAAAAATAAAAAACCCTGCTATGCCCTCATTAAGCTGTTTAGAGAATCTATTTTGATGTTATGTTGCCTATTAATTATTTGACTTAAGCCTTCGAAACTACAAAGAATGAATACATCAATTATTTAAAGTTCATATCATATGGAACAGCACAATGTTATCTTGTACACGTTAAATCACTTTTAACTCACATTAGGATGTAGAAATCTTCAAAGTACTATGTAGTACATTTGAACTCACTTTAACATCTGAGCAATAAATAGTGCGCCCTAACTTACACTCACTCTTCATAATTTAACTACACAATCACTCACTTTTACTTCACAGTATTATTTAGTACACTTTAACTCACATCACTCTTATGTAGTACACTTGTAACACGTATCAGTATTATGTTGTAAATATATTGTGAATAAGAATGTAAGCAACTTGTATTCCATAGTATTATGTAATGCAATTTAACATTGACATAAAATATGCATAGTATTATGCAACGCACTTATCACAGTATAAAATGGTACACTTTTTTCAATTCCATATCATAAAGTAATGTAGTTCATGTTAACTCACTTTAATTTCCATTATACAGTATTAAATATTTTTTATCATCACCGATACTTCATTTCTTTGTATCATTATTATTACTTAATTTTTTTACAGTGTTGTATTAAATTTTTTCTCTCACCTTCATTCTACAGCATCATGTGATATGTTTTAACTCACTTTCATCCTACAGTGTTATTCGAGTACATTATTACTCATTTTCATTACACAACAATGTATGCATTTTCACTTTCTTTCATTATGTTAAACCTTTAGCTCACTATATTATGCAGCATTTATGATTTAACTCATCGTCATTTATCAGTGTTATATTATACATTTTCACTTACTATGTTATGTTGGCAACATATTATTTGCAACACTTTTAAAAATTTGTATTCCGCAGTATTATGTTATGCATTCTAAATCACTTTCCTTCCACTGTATGAAGTGGTAAATTTCATGCCTCCACTTGTATCATTGCTCACTCCACTATCGTAGAATCATTTAGTTCACGTTATCTCACTCTAACTTCAAACGTAGTATATTCATTCAAAGATTATATTCATAGTATTATGTGATACATTATTATTCATTTTCATTTTGAAGTATTGGATAGCACTTTTAACTCAATTCAGAATGAGCCAATGTACTTATTTATAACACTTTAATCAACATGTATATGTCACTTTGTACGTTACTTTGCAATACGTCACTTTGCAATACGTCTTCAAGACTAACTACAATGTGCCATACAAATGACACCGGCAGATTTCAGAGAACCGAATTTTACAATTAGTCAACGGCATCTCCAAGATATTGATTGTTACACTTTAACACTTTAATAAAGTTGCATATTATTAATAATTATGACAATTCCAGTTCACTATATAAAGTAGCACATTATTTGAACACTCCAAGTCCACTATAAAATGTAGCACATAATTATTCATTTTTACTACTTTTACAGACCACTATATTAAGTGGTAGCGCATTATTATTCAAATTCATACCACGTGAATTGTCTGAATCACCTTAGTTCATTTTAA